CTGCACTTGGCTTTCCCGGTGGGGGGGGGGGTAGTGCTCCACCGGAGATATAGCTGAAAGAAACCTTGTACTCCGGGCCAAGAAAGCGGACTTGACCACAATGCTTAGATCTCAAAATCATGACGGAACTATTTTTCATTTCCTAAACAGGTGTTGAAGGAGAATGGGGTGACCTTGACCCTCGTGGATCCCCCGATCTGACCTTGGCCAAAAAGAAAGATCAAGGTCAGTATGGCTAGATCGTGACGTGTGTTCTTTTAGTGCTTCTGGTGCGTCCTGCTTCCTTTTCAAAACCAGCCCTCCCCTACTCAGCATGTTTTATTTTAACAGTACTGAGTGAAACAAAACAAAAATACTGTCAGGCAGCGAGATTCATGTGGGACAGTTGAACTCAGGTAAAAAAAAAAAAAAAATTAAGGGAGGCGACTATTATATTCATCAATAAAGAGCCACGAGTCCTACATCAAGGATCTCTGTCGGACTATTGTTGAAAGGCCGGAAGTTGGGGTGTAGGACTATACGTATGCCTATTGGTTTAAGGTCGGCAGGTAGGGTGTAGGACTGTACGTATGCCTATTGGTTTAAGGTCGGAAGGTAGGGTGTAGGACTGTACGTATCCCTATTGGTTTAAGGTCGGCAGGTAGGGTGTAGGACTGTACGTATGCCTATTGGTTTAAGGTCGGCAGGTAGGGTGTATTTCTCAAAATTCCCAGACCCGGTTTAAAAAAACAAAACAAAAAACTACACCCGGTTAAGCCTCAGTATATCATTCTTTTAATTTTGCGGGAACCACAGCGTCGATACTCAAGTTGAACTTTCGTGTTTGAGTGCTACTTGTCAGTGGTTTGAACTCTCGTGTTTGAGTGCTACTTGTCAGTGGTTTGAACTCTCGTGTTTGAGTGCTACTTGTCAGTGGTTTGAACTCTCGTGTTTGAGTGCTACTTGTCAGTGGCTTGAACTCTCGTGTTTGAGTGCTACTTGTCAGTGGTTTGAACTCTCGTGTTTGAGTGCTACTTGTCAGTGGTCTTTCGTTTGCATAAATGTTGTTTATTTCGCAGGTAATTATGAGTGCGAGGTTTTGGGCGAAGGATCAGAAGGAGCTGTCCAGTGGAAAAAATGTACAAAAAATCCTGGCCACTTGAACTTCATCCCAGCGCCCAAGTTCTCTCTTGACCACTTGCCAGGAGAATACAGGGACGAGGAGCTCCTGGAGTTCGTGCGAGTTGTCTCAGATAGAACGGTGAAACTTACTGTAGGCTACACCAGCACGAACAGGCCGGACGGCTTCATTTTCTCTAACTTCAGGGGCACGTCCATTCCTCACACTGGCACTGGGTTTTTGTACTGCTATAACTACGGTGATGAACCACAGCTCAATGTTAGTGATGTCAGCCAGGACGAATCTGATGAAGACGATGACCCAGTCAAGAATAGTGAGACTGATAGTAAAGATGAGATCGAAGAAGATGAAGATGATTTTCAAATAATTGAACAGTTTGACCTAAGGCTTGACCGTTGCCCGTGTCCTGAATGCACCAACTCAGATGACCCCAAGAGGTCGTGGGGTTATGTGTACGCCCACACAGCCAAGCACGTGGTCTATGACGACAGCGAGGCTAAACGCACGGTGGTGACCTTGAACTACAACGACCCCGATTGCAGCGAAGGGGTGAAAACATTATACGGAGATGCCGTGACGTGGGAGGATGGCGACAGGGATTGGTGCAACATGACGTGTGTCACACACGACAGAGATGTGTACCAGAGTTTATACAGTAAAGAGCGCGACCGAGAGGAGCAGCACACGGACATCAATGAGAAATTCTGGAGGTGCAAGACTCCTTTGGCCATCATCGTGAGCCATCCCCACGGCTGTGCCAAACAGATCACGGTCGGCCAGTGGACCAACAGGACGGTCAAGTTTGACAACCAAGAGAGTGGCGATCAGATGACCGAATACACCTACGACACGCCCACGTGCAGCGGCACCAGCGGGGCGCCTGTCGTGTTGCTAGGGGAGAAGGGGGTGGGCAGGGAGACGTGGTGGTACCCACACTACCACACCCACAGCGGGACCTTCGATGGAAAACTCAACATTAGTGGCACTTCAGATGAAAGTAAAGTTGAACTGGATGACCAATAACCTTTTGGTTTTTTTGGACTGAGATGATTTTGTGCCGACCTCACAACTTTGAGTCTGTGACCTTACAGCTTTGTGATTCTCTTGACCTCATAGCTTTGATTCTCTTGACTTACAGCTTTGATAATTATGACCTTACATCTTTCATTCTCATGACCTCACAGCTTTCATTCTCATGTCCTCACAGCTTTGATTATTATGACCTGACAGCTTTGACTCTGCTAGCCCCGTAGCTTTGATTCGGCTGACCTCACAGATTTGATTCACGTGGCCAGGTATCGCCGAGGCCAAATCCAGACTGTCTTCCTTGCCCGGCCAACCAAAATCATGTTTATTGCTTGAACTCTGTGTCAAGTAGTTACGGTGCCAACACTGGAAACACATACTGTTTCAATATGGGGTTGTACCTCTACTGTTTGCTGTCTTGTTATCAACATCAGACAGTGATTGTTATTTGACTTTTATCTTTTTTAATAGACCATTATTCTGCTGCCGCTCCATATTCCCATCCCATAAACAATAACGTTATCAACAAAAAAACAACAACATAGGAACGTAGTTTTTTTTTTCAATTAATCTCGACACCAAAACACTTTCGCTAAACAAACAAAATGTTCCAAAATATAAAAAAAAAAAAACGTACACGTTTTAACACTCGCAATTTTTCACGGAAAATATTTTATTTTTAATGTAGGTAGTTAATTATTTTTTTTAAAGAACTTTCACGATTTGCAATATGCAAATTTTACTCATTGTCTACTTTTAGCCATTTTAGCCGTACCCATCTACAGCGTGCACTAAATTGTATTTGTACAATTTTCTTGGTTATATTTTTCCAAAATTTTTATAAAAACTACTTTTCTTTTGTAAATATAAATATACATCATGTATATTTGTATATACTCTTTTTTCTGTTTTAATTTCACCTGTCTGAAATTTTGGAAAACGGAAATAATCAACAAGTTTTTTTTTTTAATTTATTTTTTATAATGGGGGGGGGGGGTGAAAACCTCATTTTTTTAAATGACAAACTTTATTACAAAGGGAGGAAATAATTACATTTTATGTTGATTATGTCCTTTCTTGCGTCAAATTCACAGTTCCCCTTTATCGGAAAACTATGTGACTCGATCAACCTATTTCCTTCTAACAACAGTTTTAAGTTCAAGCGACTTCACAATTAAGGTATTCAACACGTGCATGCAAAAATTAACTTAATAAGAAAAAGAAAGCCAGATGAATGAATTATTCATAAAATTTTAATATATAATTTAAAATATGGATTTTTGGTCTTCACATTTAATTTAGACAGGACAGATATTACAATTTTACAGAAAAAAAGCTTATATTCACACATATTAGATCAGCAGAGACGATAATTTAACTGTTTTTGTAACTAATCTTTCACATACCGTACACACAATTCTTGAATGATTTACTATAGACTAGAGACGTTCATTTTGTAGAAATATATTTTAAATTATAAATATAAAATTATTCAGTAATTTGTTATAAAACTATTTGTTATAAATTAAATATACCATTTATGTATTTATTATTATAATACTCTTTGACTTGCAGCTATCTTCAGTTATTTCAAAATGTCTGGAAATTGCACGGTGTAATGTCACTTTTATTCCCTTATATTTGATACATTATGCATATCTCCGCGTCACTTTGAATTGACCGAAGGCGGTAGTAAGATGGAATAATTTTCTCAGAAAATGAGCCACATCTCTAAGAAAAGACTTGAGCACTTTTAACCATGGTGGTGTCGGCTGCTGCTACCACTGCTGCTACCGCTGCTGCTACCGCTGCCGCTGCTGCTGTGTCTATGGTGGTGGTGGTGATGGTGACTTTTGCTGCTCCCACTGCTGCTGTGATGGCGGTGGTGGTGATGGTGGCGATGACTCTTGCTACTGCTGTGCCCATGGTGTCTGTGGTGATGATGACGATGATGTTTGCTACTACTGCTGCTGCTGCTACCGCTATGAGAAGCGAAGATCTCAGCCACGAGCAGGCCTGTGTGAATAAAAGTGTGGTGACATTAATATTTCAAGTTAACTTCACCATTTTGATACCGGTTAGGGTCCGCTGATTTACTTCTCTTCAAAATTTCTTCATCGGTGTCGTGTACTGTGGCCCAACCATGTGGAAATGTGTAGCTTATATTAGAAACTAATTAGAAAAACAACCCTCCACCCCCCCCCCCTTATGTTTACTGACATAAATGCAGCAGTAGTTAGTGAGTTGTGTTTCGTTTAGTGTAGAAATTGAAATATTAACTGCATCGTGACGATCTACATGTAGTGTTAAAATGGATTGCATCGGGAAGGAACCTAATCTAATCCTATCAGAGTTAATGTAAAAACTTACAGAGGCAGAGGGCAATGACGATGATTGAAACCTTCATGATGCTGGTTGTTGGTTGAGCTGGTAGAGCTGGTAGAGTTGGTAGCTGGTTGAGCTGGCTGTCACTGCTACTCGGGAGCTGAGATGATACTCTGGTCTACCAAGCTCCATCCTTATATACACCGGACTGTCTTCTTGTGTCATAATGGAATTCTATCTGATCTCATCCACACAACACGACACTGTCTTAAAGCAAACGTTGACTTATCGGCAGTGATGACACCAGTCTATTGTAGACCAGGCAGTCATCAAGCCAGTCTATTGTAGACCAGCCAGTCATCAAGCCAGTCGATTGTAGACCAGGCAGTCATCAAGCCAGTCTATTGTAGACCAGGCAGTCATCAAACCAGTCCCAGCGTGTCACTCAATAAGAAAGTTGTGGCTATAGCTAACATTATTTGGCGAGCAGTTTCTCCCTGACGATGTGCGAGTCACAGGTAACACTATTTGGTGAGCCGTGTTTTGTGTTGTTAGCGGAGTGCACACATTCAACCCAAGGACAAAGATGCAGCACCTGTACCGTAAAGCTGAGCACCTCCATGAAACGTGTCCTGTAATGCACACAAGCTTGTCACCTGATGTGTCCATAGTTTTAGGTAAACTTACCAGAGGGAAATTACTTGGATTGTCATCGACCATTAGAAAAATGGGAGATCATTGAATATTTTAACTGTAACAAAGGTTGAATGCAACAAATCACAGTGATTAAACCCCTGGGCCTAAATACGAAGTGTGCCAATATCATCCTGAGAATACTGAGATTAAGTACCGGTACAGTTTAACTTAATTTAAGGTTTTACATTACAGAAACATTGAGAGTGAAAAGAGCCTGTAATTATTATTATGATTTGTGATATTCGCCATGTAAAAGTAAAAATATTCAAACATCTACAACACAATTATTATTGTCAAGTCGTAAACGATGTTTACTCAATGATTTAGTTTTTGTTTACAAAAGAAGGGGGAAAAACGAGACACGTGGTGTGTTTTTTCCTCTTATGTGTGCCGCAGAGTGCGATATTTTTAAGTTCATTGAGTACATTATAGTGCCTCACGGTGCAGTAAATGATTGCCTTGTACTTGTACAACAGATGTGTTACCATCTTAATCATTGGATCACTGGATGACGACGGTGGAGTATCTCGAGGTTGTTCGGTGTCTTAATTCGGCTACAGAGCCGCAATTAATTATTAACCGCGTAGTTAGTATTGGCAGTACCGGTATGTGGAGATTTTCATTCGTTAATTATTAATATTACGGTACCGTATAAGAACATAGCTTAGAGATATAGTCATTAAAAAAAAAAATTCAATCTTTACAATATTCATTTTGAAAATATAACGTAAGTTATTGATGTCTATTTCGAGTTTAGCATAAGTTACTTGACAAAATTGACAGTTACATAAAACTTTATTTTTTTTTTTGTGTTAATTTATTTTAATTAGTCAAGATTTCCTAGAGCAGCGGATTTTGAGGCAGTTCATTTTCATGGTGTACAAATCGCAGGGCACTTGCTATTTATTCAGTCCAATAACTCTGGGATGGAAGGAAGGCAGTATTGACAGGCAAGAAAAGAACAACAGTGCCACCAAAGGCTGTTGCAGTCACCTCCCTTTAAATATATAAACGGCAGGTAAAAACCTTGCTACTGACCAAGGACACAGCAGATGGGCAGACTACTGACCGAGGACACAGCAGATGGGCAGACTACTGACCGAGGACACAGTAGACGGGCAGACTACTGACCGAGGACACAGCAGATGGGCAGACTACTGACCGAGGACACAGCAGATGGGCAGACTACTGACCGAGGACACAGCAGATGGGCAGACTACTGACCGAGGACACAGCAGATGTGCAGACTACTGATCGAGGACACAGCAGATGTGCCGAATACTCACTGAGGAGTTACAGCACCTTTAGAGAACTTTTAAAGGCTTATGTTACATTAAGTTACGTTTAGAACAAGTTGAGCACTACTAGGAATTTGGCATTTCTTATTTGAGATTATTGTCAATGTATCAAAATATCTCATTATTATTTGTAACTAGCGAGAACCTGGCATGCGTTGCAATGCCACTCAAAGAAATTAAGTGTTTGTGTGTTAATTATGTTTTTTGAAGTACCAGTACTTTTTATTTACACAATATTTTTTATTTTGCCATCTGGTGGGTACCATACTTGAAAAAAAAAAAAATCGAATTTAGGGCCCCCGGCCCCTAAATGGAATTTGTGAAATGGTTGCACTTATTCAGAAACTTTTTGCTGGCATGCACACAACAACTCACCAAAGTTTTATCGCAATCAGATGAATGGTGTAGGAACGCATTCTGAAATTATATTTAAATGGCTCATTTCAGAAAAAAACTAATTTATGGCCCCCCCCCCCCGTCCCAAAACTGAAAATTGCAAAATGGTTTTTCAAATTCAGAAACCTATTAAATTATGTCACACACAAACGGAAATATCTCTGTTTGTATTTGATTAAATTCCATCAACTCATGCATTAGGTCTGTTTATAGCTTATATATATAATTTAAAAAACAGGTTTAGGGCCCCCGACCCCAAACGGAATATTATAAAATGGTTATACTAATTCATAAACCTACTTATTATGTCACACACAAATTGAAATGTCGTTTATTGTATATTATTACATTTCCATCCACCAATGCATTAGTTCTTTTTGAAATTATAGCTCATACTCGTATAAGAAAAAACGAAGTAAGGGCTGCATAAATCATGCATATCTCTTCCAGTCCCAGGTTAAAGACGTTAGGCTAAGTCATGTGGAAATAATTTAAGTAAGTTTAATGACAGCAGCAAACAGTGACAACCAACACCAATACAAAAATTACACAAAAATTACTTTTGTATTTAATAAATTATGAGTTGATCTTTATTTTTAAAAATTAGCGAGTCCCTCAACAGCCAGAACAGTGCACAAGAAAAACAATTCTGAGAAATTTCGCTTTGAACTAATCTGAACTAACATAAGTTCAGCATGGAATCATAATTTTAAAATTAACAACAAATTTTAATGTTACTCATAACATTATGTAAAGACAAATTTGAAAAAGTAAAAAAATTCTCTAGTGACCTTAGGCCACTTTAAAAATTCATTTATCAACAATTTAGACAATAATTTATAATCACAAGTTACCAAACAATAGCTCCTCACACATTATTCAAAAGCTTTCAGTCCAGTCCACGCGTCCAATGATCATACAGAATTCAATCAGACCTCAATATCAAGTTCACCTGGCCTTGAAAATTCAAGGAGACTTAAATACACCCACTAAAGCCGGACGTAGTGTGCGACTGTGTAACTTGTATCCAATTTTTTGAACTCTAGCAATTGTGTCCGCCACCTGGGTTTCTTTAGACTGGATGGGAACTTGAAATAAAGCTTCATGAAAGTTAGGATCAAATTTTTCCCCTTCTTTGGGAGCTATGGATTCCAAGCCGTGCTTGTTAAATACTTTGATCAGTTGCGTTTCAGTCATGTTCAGTCCCTGATACAAGTTGATGAGGTGAGGATTGGAGTCTTTTAATTCTGCCTTTGGCACAGAGTTAATGGCCGTACTGAGTACATCAGAAACTTCCAGAAGGTCCTTGCAGAAACTCTGTATCCCAAATAGCTTTGCATCGTCCACTTGTTTCATCATTCTTTTCCTCAAATTTTCTGCTTCGGCCAAAGAACGCATGTATTTGTCCTGTTAAAATGAGTTAAATGTTTTCAAGTATATACTTTTGAGGTCTAAAAAAATTTATGAGAATACTCCAGACAAAATTTAAATGTAATATTTAAAAAAAATTAAAGTGTACCGTTTAATAAATGTAAAATAAATTACCACTTGGACTCTCATTACAAAAAATTAGTGATACCTGTATTTAAAGACAAATTTTGCGCACACATTGTCATTTTGGTTCCAAGTGCCAGCTATCAGCTAAGAGAAGTCTTAACCCATTTAATGTTAAAATATGGCAGCTACTAATCCAATCCTTATGATAAAATCCAACATGCTGTTTACAAAAAGCAGTACTCTACCTGTTCTCAAGGTCAACAAAACCTAAGTAGCTTACTGCCAAATATTTATTACTGGCATTTAAAACTTGTTAATTATACATCGAAATTGTGAGGAGTAATCTTATTTTAATACAGGTTTCATCTTGTTGATCATGAGTAGTGAAGTAGTTATGAACCAATCTACAGTTCACGCCATATTTTACCTTTTGATTATTACTGTTATGAATTCATAGCGTGGGTAATATATTGAGAAGGCTGGCTTAAATGAATCAAAGAAATTGTAAAACTATTAAGTTCAAACCTTGGACTCTTTGATTTCCTCCTGTAGCGTAAGTAGCTTTGATTCCAATTTGACTTGCTCCTCTGATGGTTCCTTTGGCTCGACAGGGTCTTTGAAAATGGTTTGCTCTTGCTTTTTTGGATCATTTTTATCTGCAACTGTTGTGGACAATAAACACCTGGAACTGAATAGAAAACAAGCTTTGTCTATTGAATGTTATGACTTAAATCAATCAATCATCATCATAAGATTGTTTTGGGCTAGGGAGTCTGAGACATCATATAATTAGCCTACACATCAGAGTATAATTCATCACATTCTTCTTTAGGCTACATAGTTAAGCCAGTGCCAGGAGTGATGTGAGCTTGCGTGATGGCTGCGCTGTTCCCCCTCCACCACTCTGCCGACGATGCAAAATTATTGTTTTCGTTTATGATATGCCTCAGAGTTAAAATTAAATTTAAAAAGATTTCAAAGTCTCAGAATAGTTAAAATGAGCATATTTTTTAAAAAATAGTTTTCGGCAGAGGCCCCCTTGGACCCCTTTTCAGCTGGGCGCAGAGGCGTAGCGAGAGTGTTGCGACTAAATGCGTCCTTTGGGGGGTTCCGATAGCGATACACCTCTCTTATTTTTAGTTAAAAATAGGAATGAAATCTTGAGACTTCCGGCTACACCGTGATTTTAATTTAATAACCGAAAGTTTTTATCCTGTTTCACTTTAAAACTATGTGTGCAATAGTACTGCGCGTCTTATTCTAGCATATTGTTCATCCGGGGTGCCAAAAATAGCTTTTTTGGCCATTGTTCATTATTTTTTCGCCCCGCTAATATTATATTTTTTATTAAACCTTATTCATTTTTATGATGCATTCGCCCCAATTCACTAACATTTATTAATGTTTAGCAGCTTAAAAAAATATTTTAAAATGTATATCAATTTCAAAACTGAGTTGCTTCCCTTTTCTCAGGAATATAAATTAAGTACGGAAGCAGCACTGCCGTAGCGAATGAGTTAAAGAGCCAACTGTTCTTTTTTCAACTCTCAAACCCATTATTTTCATAAAAAGCACATTTTGGCCCCCCTAGCAATCTGGCACCCAGGTACATCTGCCCCCCCTCTTCGCTACGCCTCATTGGATGTGTCCCGTTTTTTCCAATTCATGATTTGGTCACCCTAATTTAGATCAATCGCATAATCCGATGCAGATAAAGTAGATTTAGAGGATTTGAGTTATAGCAGTAAAGATGATGTACCAATATGCTTACATCAGGCCTGCACAACATACGGCCCGCCAGCAACCACTTTGTGGCCCACGAAGTAACGAACTATTCTTTATTCTTATTATTTTCTTGATAGCTTTCCCCCTGTCTCTTTTTCGTTTGGCCCGCACAAGTCCTGTCCTATTTTCTTTTGGCCCACACAAGTTTTTCATTAAGTCTTATGGCCCGCTTTACATTTTGAATTGTGCAGGCCTGGCCTACATCATGGGTTTGGGAAAAAAATGTTTTTGCATATCATGTTTTCACATTTTAAGTTTCTTTTCTGTTACTTAATTTATTTAAACTGAAGTAATAAGTCTATAAACAAACAGTCCATTCAATTATCTTTCATTTGATACAAAACTTTGCCTTATAACAAAAAATAAAATAAAAATGTCAATATTTTTTAATAAACCTAACACAGCGGTTCTCAACCTGTGGGTCGCTACCCCTTTTGGGGTCGCAGGACCCTTTTCCAGGGGTCGCCTAAGACCATCTGAAAACATATATCCTTACAGCTATGAAGTAGCAACGAAAATAATTGTGTGGCTGGGGGGTCGCCATGACACGAGAAACTGTATTAAGGGGTCGCGGCACTAGAAATGTTGAGAACCACTGACCTAACCTCTCACTTTTTTTTGCTCTTTGAAAAAAATGTACATGTTTCATTAAAAAAAATCAGCTGCGAAAGAGTTAAGAAGGTCAATATTCCATTCTCATCATGTGTATTAATTTGCATGAATTTATAGAGAGGTCATCCAGCTTTGAAATATGAACATAGTTTACTTAATCAATGAAGTTAGTGCTTTGAGACTTTAACTCATTTAAGTCATTGAAAACTGCTATTAATTTAAGCCTACTCATCCATTGTATTATGAATTACTTAGTATAATTGGTATCTACAAGACAATTGATAAATGAAAATATTTTTCAATAGACAAAAAAACACACACACAGTCCTTTTGGCTCATATTATGTAAATAATAGATCGCGAAGACAAAACCCAATACATTAAAGAGTTTTTATAAATTTTACAAGTTTTGTCCCTTGATTTACATAAATTATTCTATAATATGCATAGTCATATAGAATTAGTATCAATTTACATTAATAAATTTTGTTAGTGTATGCCTATGCATTTATCCATTCTTTATTATTAAATCAATAATAGTTTGAATAATAGTAATAACAATAATTGTTATTCTAGCATTAGGGACATTGCTCAAATATTATTAGCATAAATAAAGAGAATATTATTACTAAAATTACTCCAATCCTACATGTTAATGTTACATATAGAATATAGGTCTAAGTCTAAGTAGTAAGAACAGCTATTATTATCATATTTGTGTATGGCTATAGAGTATATTAGTGACTATAAATGAATAAATAACATCATCATTTTATATTTTATTATATCATAGAAAAAAAAGATACATCGAGTATACAAATATTTAATATCTCTAATAAAATACATTAAAAAAGAATTTTAATAAACACAGAACTTGAATAATATTGAAAAGAAAATAGAAATTGTGTAGATTCAGTATTATAATTATAGGTATTTCTAGGCTTCTTTCGAGTGCAAGGGAATATTTTAATTTTCTATGCAGACCTCGGAATTTCTTCCATTGCCGATGAGGGGTGTTTGGACGTAGATCGCGAAGACAAAGTTGATAAAGGAGATATTTAACTTTTAAAATTTAATCCCGAATCGGTATGCTAGGATTAGTCTTATGGGTGATTTTATTTGAGTAATTTTTATTTATAATTACATGCATTTAATTCTATATTAAAAAAGATTACATACCTTTTTATAAATGTAAGAATTTATTTAAAATTTAATAAGCATATAATTAGTTAAAATTCAATTACCATGTTTGTTTTTTTTTCCTTTATAAATGATGATTTTTACAAATTTTCTGTTCACGCTTTTCTTAAATAATCTAAAATAAAATTATACAAATTACCAAATCTTGATGTTATGTAAAAGTTTTGTTGTTAATTGTGTTGTATATTGCACTGAGAATGTTTCCTGAAAATTTGGTAGCATTATCTTTTAAAAAAAAAAGTTTTGGGAAAAATAAGGCATAAATATTGAAGTCGAAGTCGGTCACACATTTTTGCAATTAAGATAAAGAAGGGGGTTAAAAAAATTCACCAAAAAATTCATAACTCCACTTCTATAATAAAAGATAGGAAGATAAAATTGATGTTTATATAAGGCTTATAACTAACCCTTTAAAATGATGTATCATTTATGGCAATAGGACAATATTTAAAATTTCTGTCAACGTACCTAATGTTACATCATTTATATTTGAGATACTGATTCAGAATCAAATAAATAATTAAAATAGGCCTCGGAAGCCAAGGTCTAAATAGTAGGCACTTCGCTGAAGCAAGGGCAAGGGACACTCCTAGAAAATTTGTATCGGAAATGGGCGTCGGCGCAATAGAATCTGAGTTTTGAATTTTTTTTATATTTATATGCATGTAATTTTAATAATACTAATATAGGAGTCCTTTTGCTCCATAATTAAGGAGAAATGTTGGCCTTCATTGTGAGTTATTTTGTTCTTTATATCAACTTTAAGTGAGGAAAATCGTATGACAATGTAATATAAGGCATCATTCGCTCAAAATGTTTTAAAGAAATTTAAAGATCATGTCTTTCAACTTTCATATTAAATTCTGACAAACTGCCACAAACATTATGATCATTAGGTCAATTTAAGTTTAAGCCATTTAAGAGTTAATAAGACATTTGAGTCTTGTAATTTTACAATATTGTATAAATAGGAAAAAAGAATTTGAATTTTAGCAGACATCTCCATTTTTAAAATATCAAGCATTAAATGTCGGATAATGTCTTAGTCTATACATTCTGTTGTCAAGTTGTTACATCATCTCACCTTCTAGCTTGTGTTCCAGTGTTTTCTAATCTCGGTCAACTAGCGGTCGCGATATCTAATTTGCTTGGTTCCTAAATTGTGGCGTATATAATGATCATAAATCATTAATAATATCAGAAAAATTATATGGAACGTTACATTCATTTTAAACTAATAGCTTACCGATTAACATGTTTTATAAATAGTGTTCGTGTAACTCTTGATGAAATGTTGAGGACACGCACAACGCTAGTAGACGCAGCCATCTTTCTTTAAAGTAACTCTCTACGTTGTAAAAATATAGAAATGCAATGCGTTTCCATACGCAAATGAAGAGCTTAAACTTAGGTGACTAATTATTAATTAGTTTATTTTCATTCTTCAAACAAATTTAAAAAAATGTAAATTGTACACTAATGCAATATGGAATCATTCAAACACATTTTTTTCTAGTAATTTTCAATTTCATTAAAATTTTATTTTTAACTTAAATTCTTTATTTGAGTTAGATCTAGGCATTTTCTATTAATCAACAAATAAGGCATAAGGCCTACCAATACTATTGCAACTAATTATTATCTATGTATAAGAATCATTTTGACATTTTTAATATATAATGGAAAAAGGCATTTAATTTATTTAAACCACACCTCCCATGTGGCCCTTGTCGACAAGTGTAAACGTCTCCCACTCTCTCCCCCATATTTTGTTGATATGACATAATTCATGGACACAACCCCATGTATGGCCTTTTTAGGCTATAACAAATTTTAAGTTTGACGAATCGGTGGATACGTTTAGAAATTGAACAAAAGACCAGTGCCAGTGTGATAATTACACTTTCTTTTTATTTGACCATAAATAGTCATGCTTTGCGGCGATGTCATCCTTTGGGAAGGACAGTCGGGTGGCATTCTCCCACCCCCACCCCCCGAAATTGCAGGTCTTATTCAAATTGCTTGACTATGGCGCTTCCAGCAATAATAACTCACAAAGACGGCCAAGTTTTGGTTTTTGCCCCCCCCCCCCCACTTTTTTTTTGCCCCTGAAAACAAAATGCAAATGGTAGAACAAGGTTTGTGTGAAAGCTTGAATCGAAAAACAAGATAACAAGATTATAATGTTTCCCCTAAGAGCCTTCCTCGTCAGACAGGACAAATGAGAAGAAAAAAACAACAACCGGAAATGACGTTCCTGCTTCGCTGAATGGCAATGTAAGTGTAAGACTCGTGGACCGACACCGCGGACACCATTAGGAGGATGCTGACCTATGACATTATAGACCTATAAAGTTAATTTGAGCATTATTATTTTAGTATTACATTTTTAAAACATTAATTGAAAGCTTCGTGGATTCTATTGGGTGGATTCTATTCGGTGGGTTCCTTCATTTTTTACATTGATTAATACGCGTAGATACAATTTGGCGGCAAGAGAATTATTGGGAAGCAACTGCCGTTAAAACATAATTCATTTAACAAAAGTGCAGCCGTGTGTTTTAAATAATTCACCACTTTCTATTTGACAATAAATTTTAGAAATGTTTGCATATTTCTTACCCACACTTCCTGTAAAAACTTTATATTTAGTGCTACGCCTTTCAATTTCGATAACTGTAGTACAATTAAAAAAGATTTGTTTTAACATGAGTTATATCCCTTTCAATACATTTCACTGCACTTAAAATACTGGCTCATATCACAATAATAAATTGTTCATTTTCATTTGACGATACACGAAGTTACAGTTACAAGGCGTTTATTGGACTCGCCACTGATTCCTGTCACCAAGCCTTTTTCTAGGGACACCAAACAAAGCATAGTGACCTGATCTGACCTTGATCCCGGGCAAGCTTTGCTCACTGCCTCCCTTCCTTAGTTCTCACCATACTATTTATGTCTATTTCCAGGTGACGTCTGTAGGTTGCGTCTAAAGATTACAACTTCAAGTAACGTCTCAACATGAAGCTTCAGACTAATTCCTTACCCGATGTGTCTTACTTTGAAATGTCCGGGGATGTCTTGCATGGTGCTGCTGGGTGCCGATGTGACCGACCCATCTCCTTAGTTTTTGTAACTTGTCGTCCCCCCCCCCCTTCCCTGATGCCCATATACGCTGTCATAACGGCTAAGGGGCAATCCATAAATAACTTCATCCATCTCAGGGAAAGTGGGTCAAATATTTGTGAAAATTTGTGGCAAACGATGTATTTTTTTATTATTTTTTTTATATGCGGGGCAGGGGGGGGGGGATTTATCCCTTTGACGTCACATAACAACTGAAATTACTTTAAATACTTAAACGATACCATTGTAAATTTTACCATTTCTTAACTACACACCATAACAAAAATAATGAAAATTTAATTTTTGCGTATGGGAATGTTTGATTGATAATGGATTGTTTTTGATTCAATGTTTTAATGATTAAACGGTCATTCATTACTGAACGAGACAGTACTTTGTGGAACTGGTAGACAGGTAGCCTATGTGAGGTCGGGCAATGGCTCTGACCACCCGTCTGGGAGGATCAAGTAACAGGACTCCACGGAGTTCGAGAGTCGAAGGTGCAGTGACACTGACGGGAGAATTTATGTAGATAATGTAGGAGAGTGGGGTCAGTGTGTCAGGGGTACGTAATGTAGGAGAGTGGAGTCGATGTGTCAGGGGTAGATAATGTAGGAGAGTGGGGTCGATGTGTCAGGGGTACATAATGTAGGAGAGTGGAGTCGATGTGTCAAGGGTACATAATGTAGGAGAGCAGAGTCGATGTGTCAGGGGTACGTAATGTAGGAGAGCGGAGTCGATGTGTCAGGGGTACGTAATGTAGGAGAATGGAGTCGATGTGTCAGGGGTACGTAATGTAGGAGAGCAGAGTCGATGTGTCAGGGGTACGTAATGTAGGAGAGTGGAGTCGATGTGTCAGGGGTACGTAATGTAGGAGAGTGGAGTCGATGTGTCAGGGGTACGTAATGTAGGAGAGTGGAGTCGATGTGTCAGGGGTA